GGAACTGTGTACATTGCAGCAGCTCTATCTGACCCTAACTCAATTTGGGATCGATTGTAGGGATAGTGGAGCTGAAGTTCCACTTCTGTTATTATGTAATGTAAGTTCCACTTCTATTCTGTGCTTTTGTGGTTGGATATCGAATTATCTTCATTTAAAAATGAAGATTAATCCATTACAGCTCAGCAAATACGTCTGCATATTTTTTACTATGGGCTAAATAACCTGTTGCCTATTTATTTATGCAAACAATGCTCACTGTAATCTATCAGTAAAGAAGGCATCAGAATATAAAAGTTATTACATTAGCATTGGCAGTGTCAATATATAGGCTGAAATCCATCAGCAAATTCTCAGTATAAGCTTGGTTCTTGTTGCACTGTGGCTCTTCTGAAGTTCCTCATTACTCTGCTATTTATATGAAAGGGGCCTTGTTTGAACCAGTGATCTCAAGCTCAACATGAAAAGTCTATTGCTTGGAAAGGACAGCGGTTTCCAATACCAGATGGCACTCTGCAACCTTTTAAGTTTTGAACTGATTTAGTGAGACTATATGGTAAGAGAAGCAAAAAATGGAACAAATTTAATCTGCTGCATAAACCAACCCAAGGAAGAAGAGTATCCATAGGCCAGACTGTCAAGCAGATATGTTGTGTATGCCAGAAAGGACTTCAGTAGACTAAGGATAAGAAATACCACAAGGCAATAAGGGAAAGCATTCATAACACATGCCAACGTTATATTACCCTCTGAAAAGAGATTTCTGCCTAGGAGTTGTATACTTAGTATAAAAAAAAAACAAGAGTGAATCAAGCTAAAAAGAAAGTAGGCATATGTTTGTCTAGAGTTTTGGTAATAAACTGCCAGTTCATCCAAGTACACAAAAGTACCCTTCTTCTACAAATATCTCACTAAGTTGACCTTCACCACAAACTTAGCCTCAGCCACCTCTGTTACCACAGTGCAATCACCATTTTTTTCAAATCACCATTTTGGTACTGTAGATATTCAGGTCTGATTTTTAATCACTGACATATTAAGCATCAGCAAAATAGTTTACTTAGCTGTTCCGTTGGCAATTTTTAAAAAGGAATGAAAACATGTACCCTTTTGATTACCTTGTTAAAGTGAGTCATGATAGCATTATTGCAGTGCTCAGTACTTCTGCTGTAATTAAGAATCTGTCATATTTTTCATTAAAACACATTCTTTAAAATGAGACTTTTAACTTGGTCACTTCAATCAGCACTGGTCTGAAGTGTAGCATGCCAACGAGATAAAGAAAATGACAGCTGAAATTTGCTTTTGTAAAACGTAAGTATTAAAGTCCCCATAACATGCAATAATTTACATTTTATATGCACATTCCCTGTATTTTAAGTAGAAAATCACTTTTTCTTTTCAAAATTAGTTTTTGCAGGTTTTCTACACTGCTCCAAACTGCAAACATCAGAGCAAAAAGAGTGTTTTCCAATGGAAATAAATGGCTATTTATAAGGCACACCAATGAAACTTTTCTTGTTCTGAATCAAAATTTCTACATTCTGTAAATTAAGTTATTAACATCCCACAGATATGAAACAGAACTGGATGATTTTCCCCAGTGTTTAAGATCCAGAGGTTTCTTATTAAAAACCAAACAAAAAAGAAATTAAGAGGTCTTTGGGATTTAATAGGAGTTGACTGAGAAAAAAAGCTTGTACAGAAAAAGACAGAATTAGTAAGAAAGGAAAGGAACTGGGCTAAATGCATATTCAATGTATGAATATAGCATCTAAAATTTTGTAGGATCTACTGATTTGCTATGAGCCTAAGTAACGTAAGGCTGAGAAGACCGTAAAACTTTCTCAAAGCATGCATTCCAGGTAGTAATAACACTTTGCAGAGAATGTCCTTTCTCTTCCATAGAAGTTCTTTGGTGTTTTGTTATTATTTTCATTAATAGAGGACCCAGTTTTGGTAGGACTATTTCCATGATAATGTATTAGCTTGTCTAAGAGGCTTTTATACAAATTTCAGGGCACTGTATCGCTGCAATGAAATACGTCAGGGTGTCATATGACACAGCTCTGCCACTCAGGTAGTCAGAGAGGGCACAAAGTCAGTGAGAGTGTGACCTGGTCGCAAATCTGATTAGAATCACTGAAATGATATTGGTTTCATGGAATAAGCTGTGCAAAAAAGTACATTTTTTATAACACACACCACCTAATTCTTGAAAGAAATCATAGGAAGTAAATGATCTTTACTAGTATCTTTTTTAGTTGATGTACTAATGAGCTATGTTCAGTAATGCACAGATGGGACTACATCAAGTATCCACAAAACAGAAAATGTATTCTAGTAAAAAAGGCAGAATAGGACACTCCTGCCTCAGTACTGTCAGCTCCTAACAATCCACACTTGAATTATCTCCCATTTTCTACACTGATTTGAACACAGAGTTTCTTCACCTTTACAAATGACATTTTTGAAACTATAAAATGCTCTGTGCTGCTGAAACTTTCTTGCTTCAGTACTTTCTCATTGCTGTACAAGTAAATCTACATCCTTTGTTACTAGTATACACAAACCTACTGGTATATGACTTTGACTCTGGACTGAGAACAGGCTATAAATTTAGAAATCAATACCTACCTCTATCAATATTCATTTTACTTTTTCAATACAAAATACTAAGGTGAAAGAGCAGTAAATAAGCTGGAGTACTGAAACAAGTTGGGTGTTCTTGTCACAATTAATAAATGTTTAACCAATCACACTGCTTGCTACAGAAGTCTATGGCTTTGTAAGGTGTCTGAAAGTAGCAGGGGCTACCCTTGTGAGATTCCAAACCAGAGAACAGGTTTTGATACTTTATCAGGACCCCCAGTCATTCTTTTCAGTACTGCTGAAGCTAAACATATAAATTACCATTTTCAACACCATACAGTGTGATAAGGACTAGCTTAACAATGGAAATTATTCAAAAAAATGCACAAAATAATAAAAAAAATACTATTTTCAACAGATTCGCTCATATTGGATGAAACTTTGCTAATCTTTAGCACACACAGCTCAAGAAAACATTCACAGACAGCCTTTCAGGATTTGCTACGATGTTAAATAGGGACAATTATTAGCAGAAGGTTTCTTCCCACTTCCAACTTTTGTTCATGTAAGTAATTTTGCCTTTCTTTCAAGAAAAAAGGTTTACAAATTCTTCTCCATAAAATTTAGTCCTTCTGCTCCTTTATGTTAGCTAACTATAACTACTGAAAGAAGAATAATCAAAAAGTGATCTTTCATTTTAATCCAAATGGATTTCCATTCTAAAACAAGACCCTGTTTCTTTCATTAAATGGGAAGAAATACTGACAATGACAAATAAACAAGGATTGTGATGGCTAAACAATAATTTACCTGTAGGAAGGTTAGCTTTTGAGAAAGCTCTAGTAATTTCTACACTGTAATTTATAAACATTATTTAATTTATATAAGTAATTTATAAACATGACCTAAACGTATGTACAAGTTTACTCAAAGTTTACCAAAGTTTCTATTTGCTTAAAAATATACAATGATGAAAGGCAGAAAAAAACCTTATATAAAGACCATAGAAAAAAAATAATCACAATCCTCCTGCCCAGAACAAAATTGAAAATACCACCTTGAACCTGAAAAAGAAAAACTCACACATTAGTTACAAGGTACCTCATACAATACCGTTATCCACCACCATTACCTGTCACTCTCCATATAAAGGCACATTTGGGGGGCAAAAAAATCTCTAAAATTGTGAATAGATAGATATATAACATTGAATGACCACATAATATATTTGCCTTAGTATCAAAATATTGGCTTTGCAAAGTTACGCAGAGGAGCTAGCTCGTAAAATAAAATACTTAATGTTGAAAGCCCAAGGTAAAATGAATAACAAAATTAATTTCATGATACTTCATACCCTCTCAGTACAAAGTGACATCCTCTAGTACTTGAAAGTTGTGAAGTGAAAATCACCTTGTAGAAATAATGATATTATTCTCTCTTCAGCCATTAAGTATTTTTCTTTCTCACTTCACATATGTTCAGAGTCTTAGAAACTGACCCACACATTCTCTTTTTCCACACTGCTGCCACTGAGGTGCTTTTATAACATTTTTAATGCTATTCTTGGTCTGTTGCTGCCACTGAGGTTTGAAACAAAGAAGTTTCAGGAGGGTGAATTCAGCTGGAATACAAATATTAGGCTTCTGTAAAGACACCTATTTAGAATATACTTGAAAAACTGTATGTGTTATCTATGTTGCTACAGTAATGAATATGACAAGGAGATGCAATCCACAGTTCCATATTAGCAATACATAAAAAGCCTTACAGAGGCACACACACATCTAATCCGTCCAGCATGCACCATATATAATTAATACAACAAACTGATGAGAGTCCTATAAATCACTCCTAAATATTGAAAAAGTCATTTCACAGCTGTGACATCAGCAAAATGCATCCAGTGGTGGTGACCTCCCATCTGTAAAAATCTTCCAGGAATGTGCTTACAAGTGCTCCCTATCTAATCTACAGCACTCATTTTATCTCCTTAACATTTCCATCGCTTGCCCAAGAATTCACATACTATCTTTATTGTGAAGGGTATTTATATAGTATTCATATGCATTCCTCACAGAAAAAAGATACCTCATGTCTCCTACCTTGTAATGCTTCAACAGACATAAGCAGTAATCTTTACTGTCTATGATTCTCACTATATGAAAACAAAGATGCATTCTCTTTAAAGGCTTGACTACAAAGGACTAGAAATCAGAAATGTCTGAAGGAGAATTAAGAGACCCTATTTATTTCTTAATCTCTATTAACAAATAAAAATAGATCATACCTGAAGTTATATGGGAAGTTACTGAATTTATCAAGCATTTCTCTGGGTCACTGACCTACTGCTTTGTATTTAGAGATTTAACATCGTGTGTTTTGTGTTCTGTCTCAGGGAAATTGGTTACCTGTAGGTCCTGGCAGGGGAGCAGCTTTCCTTCTCCGTTTGATGTCTCCCATGCACAATGATCCTAAATGTACACTGGTTTGCCTGCAAGTAATTACACAAGAAAACTATTAACAAAGGAAGAAAACCACCACGTAAATGCACAGCTTGTATAATCTGAACCTGTATCAAAACATTCTCAACTGAGATGAAGCTGCACAATCATGCCACCAATCTTGTTTATATCAAAGTATAATTATGTTTGTTGACAAGCACTCAGTATCTAAATGCAGCATCGTAAATTGTTGCAGGAATGAATAATACAAAGGGAATGCTTTTTAATTTTCAAAACTGGCAATCTTTCTAGCTCAACATAAAACAAAAACACTGCTGCTCCTAACAGGAAAATAGCTAAGATTAAATACCTACAGAGGTCACAATACTGTTGGTATTGTGATCAGTTGGCTAGTAACACCCCACTGCCAGAACATCATTTATTACACGAAGACCATTCTCACTTTAAGGTAACTTGAAGAATGAATGATAAAACATGAAAGAGTAAACTCTCTGAAGGCGCATGGAATAAACCTGTAGCACAGCAATTTGTCCTTTTCTAATTCACTGGCAAGTTGTGAGAATGATAACATAGAAGCACAGTATCTGTTATACTCATTAAAGAATTATGAGCTTACACTTGGAGACTGGAAAATCGGTGGAACCGCAGAGGATGACAAACAAGCAAATCTTATTGCTTTAAAGCCAGCAATTAGAAGTCAGGTACCACCGAAAAGGGTACATTTGGAATTTCCAAATATTGAATTTTGGAATATAACCTTAAAGGACAGTTAGAGTTATTTATCTTCAAGTAATATACAGTGCTTAAAGAATGGAATATATGTAGCTGGCATTTTTCTGGGGAAGAACTAGAACAGAAGGGAGGAAAAGGCAGTAATTTCTATACTTCACAATCTTAATACGTCTCCATAAATGTTACAGAGAACTGTGATTCTTACCACAGAGGTGCAGTGAATGTTGATAAAATTACAAGCTGAGAATTGCATCTGACAGTCTAGTGTAGCACAGTAACACTCTGGCACTCACGGGATCTGGTTTCAGTGAGGATATATGGCTTATCCTTCATTGCATTTATAAACTTTTTAAAGCTGTACTGCTTCTAAATGAATAACAAATGGTCATATAATGTTGAGAGACCTCAGATCTACTCAATAATGTAAGAGTGATAACAATTCCTTGATGAAAAAGACGACAATGTACAATTCTTGACATACTTTGCCTAAAATGTTACAGTACATTAACAAGTACCAGAGTGCTTTTATTTAAATAATAAAATATTCCAAGAAACTTAAGTTTCACACAGGAGTGCATCTCGCTTCACGTAATGAACCCTTATTTCAACACTTACTCAATTCTCTTTGTTCTAAACCACATATTTTCCTTACAACTCTTCTATGTTGAAACTGCATTCTAACATTTAGACACTGAACACAGTTGAACTAGTTTTACCACAGTGATAAATTTCAGTTCTAAATATAGAAAGAAACCCTTTCATAATTGACTGTACAATATTCATATTTAAATACAATATGGGGAAACAATTCTTAGAGAAAGAAACATTTGAGATGTTTAATTATCAATAGATTGATATTTAACACTGATATTAAACATGCAGAATAAGTTGTGTGGTAAATTCTATGTTAAACAGTGTACAACTGTCCATTTTCTCTTCCAAATGAAAAAGGGAGAAAGTCTCCAGGAATACAAGCAGGATGAAAGATAAAAATTAATAAAGTCAGGCAATTGAACCTGAAGACCTGAGCTACAGCAGTAACAGCACCAGCGTTTGAGTTATTTTACCCAGAATTGATTATCTGTTACACTACATTGAGATATCTAGATTATTGATCTGTAAGATTATGGTACTAGGGTCTCCCCACTTTTCCTCCAGGCACACCAAATGGAGTTGCAACAAATAACACTAAGTAAGGACTACTTTGTTATTGTTGTCACCCTTCATGTAGAACATAGCAGTTACTTTTTAATTTAAAATCAATGAACGTCTGAAAGGCAGCCTTGTTCCTTCAGCATAAATGAATCATTCGCCTTTGCTGAGCACAACAACCCCGTCACCAGCCAAGGTGAGAGTGGGTATTTCTTTGTTGTCGACAAAAACTCTGTACACCACAAATAAATAACAATATACCAGAGCATAAATTAAGCTTTGTCAAACCTGGTTTTATGGTCACTAACATCAAACATTAAGCTAGCTCGGGATTCTAAAGCGGCATTTGCTTTTGCCAGGTCTTAACATTTGATACGCGCTGCCAATGTAGATCACAGTAAAACAAAAAGCTTTTTTACAATGATTTTTAAGAGGAACAGACACAAAATATCACTGCTCTGGAACTGGCAGCTTAGACAAAATGAAGTAGTGTTCTGATGCTGAACACTACATTTTGAAATGCTTGTAATGGGACTACTAAAAATGAGGGAGAACTTTGACTCTTAATCAGACTAAGTTCAGCATTATGTTTCTTAGCATTAAATCAGAAGAGCACAGATTACGGAGAGGAAGAAAGCTATTTGCCTGACTTTTCTCTACATACCCCTAGCTTGCTTCCAGCTATTGTTTATAAATAGTGCTCTGGAGGGAAGCTAGGCATTTTATTAGGGAAAAAAATAAAACTTGTTAAGACCACCTTGCCTGAAAACTTGGCTTTTGACGTGCTGGTGACAGGGACTGGAGCAAGCAGTGTCAAACGGAATAATTTCTAAGGAAAGACAACAGGAACTTGTCGCCTCATTGTATGCATTTACAAATAGAGGATTTTCAGAGTATTAGGCCTAGTTAAAGCTGCCCTCTGGATAAAAAGTGTTCCCAAGCAGCCTCAGACAAGCTTGGGAGACAAACAGATGTGACTATGGTCCCTGGCGTTTGGCAAGAACACTCACTGTCAATAAGAAAAATATGAGCATGGACAGGGCATCAGCTGCACCGCGGCCGAGCAGGCCTGCAAGTGTCATAGCAGTGGCAAAGTTGTGGCAGAGAGAAACGAGAGGGTTGCAAAAGTCAGGCTGGTGTGAACTTGCACTGGCGTGCCAAGAATTCTGTTGTTGTTGTTGTTGTGTCGTGCCTCACTGTATTGAGCAAAAAGACTGGAAAAGCCACTGCCAATTTGTATTAATTTTCCATCATGCGCAGTGTTGAGATTCTCCTTTCTAGGTGGTACATAAGAACCTCCAAAAATGAAGAGAGGCTGGGAAGGCAGTAACAGCAGAATAGCAGTTGGAATAAAAAAACAGTAAACACTCCAGAAAGGGTTTTGATATAGCAAGTGTTTTTATAGAAGCAATGAGATGTAAAACAATTCACAAGCACCTATGCGTTCCTGTGACAAACATTCACTGAAAGAAACTGTTACCTCCTTCTTAAATAGTTGCACTCTCCCTACAATTTCTTTTTTCAAGGAAATTGCCCTTAATATGGTAACATGCCTAGAACTCCCTCTTTAAGCTCCTCCAGCATTCCTATCTACACTTACATGACAGGACCTCTTTGTCTGTAATTTCTATAGCTCAATAAACAAATATTTTTGATGAGTGCCTTTTCTGCAGTTACACACGTGCACCTCCCCAAGCCATTTTTAGGAAGCTATGTCAGACTTTTATCTACCCTGACCTACGCAGTCAACGCACCACTCCTAAAAAAGCATCTTGCTCTGCAGGTGAACCTACAGCTACACTGCTCCAATTGTAAGCCACCTTTGGAGAAACTAAGAACATAAAGTGGTTCTTAACCCTTTCATGAGTAGTTATGATTTTTGCTGCTATCAGAGGTCCAGTCATTGAGAAGAGTAATACAGTAAAATGGGTGTAGAACAGCAGATACTCCTGAAATTGAGTTCTAGCTCTCTGGGTTATTACATGGGTTGGAAGGGACCTTAAAGCTCCCCTGCCACGGGCAGGGACACCCTCCACTAGATCATGTTGCTTCAAGCACCTTCCAACGTGGCCTTGAACACTGCCAGGGATAAGGCAGCCACAGCTTCTCTGGGCAGTCTGTGCCAGTGCCTCGCCACCCTCATAGTGAAGAATTTCTTCCTAATACCTAATCTACATATACGCTCTTCTATCTTAAAGCCATTCTCCCTTGTCCTATCCCTACATGCTGTAATGTGGCAATTGTTCCCCAGTCTCTTCAGAAAGGTGCACTGACTGCAGTGTTACACAGCATGTAGTTTCACACGCATTGATACAATGGCTTGAACTACCAAGGCCACCACTGCACAAAGGGGAACTGGCTACTAACATATTAAAACCAAAACATTTGTGATTTTATTTTATATGTCTCACCGCAACATGCCTGTGGTTCACTTCACTTTCTCTGTCTGCTGTCACTTTCTTTGCAAGCCGCAATCCTTTATTTAGTATCAGTGCAGTTGCTTTTGCTGATGCACTGTAACTGTGCCAATGTTTACATCACTGAAGGCAAACTTAATTTTGCCCCTTAGCATATTTAGTGTTAAGCCACTTACCAGATGACACTACAGCATGGCTAATATAACTTGTAAGTAATGGAAGTGATGGTTTTATGTTCTGTTTGTGTCAAAAATGCACAGAAGTACTGATTACTAACAGGCAGAGGGTGTGTTTAGACTGATTTCTATTTCATAGCTAGGTAAATTAGTAATGATCAATACTTCCCTATCACTACATTCCAATTAACATCTCTCTCACCTGAAGAACAAATGCACAGTAAACAGTGACACACTGTTCAGCCACAGTATCAAGGGCATTCCTGCAGATGGCTGTACAACTCAGCAAGTTCATCACTGCTGAATGCTTCAGCTAATGGAGAGGTTTGATAAAAGCCTTTAGTGAGCTTCTTTCACAAGACATTACAATAAGGCAAGAGTTGGCTGGTTTGCATTTTAGAAAGGACCTGAGAGAATTATTTTGAAGGCAAAATCTAACTGAAACTGTCAGTTCTCAGTCTTAAAATATAGATATGAATATGGGTATGACTAAAGAGAGAATGCAGTGAGGACCACAAGTCACATAAAGCTTGAATGATGAAAAATTTCCTA